CCTCCCCTCCAGAACCCTGTTTGTTTTTCAGAGTCCATCGTCTCTCATGGTTCGTCTACCCCTCTGATTTCCCCCGCTTCATTCTTCCCCTCCCACTACCTTCTTCTTCTGCTTTTTTTTTTTCTTAACATATATTGCATTATTTTCAACCAGTTATTTTTTATGCTTTAGGGCAAAATTGCCTCACCCTGAATTAGTTATGGGGTGAAAATGCTAGCAGCGAAGACGCTTAAAGCAAAAATACTGGACACGCCTCCTTCTTGACCCCACCCTCAGCAGCAGTTCCTCAAGGACCCCCAAAGCCATCTCAGCCCTCAAGGCTACCTCACCCACACCAGATTGCTGAAGGTCTGAGTAGGCCAGCACCACATTTGCCCTGCTCACGGCTCTCCCCCAGAGCAGATGGACGCACTGACCTCCCCAGTGCATCCAGAACCCAGGGAGTCGCGCTCAAGCCAGATTTGGTTCCAATCCCTGCCCTACCATTCATGCTCTGTGTGACCCCAAGTGCTCTTCAGCCTCAGTTTGCTCATCTGCAAAGTGGAAATAATAACAACAATAATAAAGTTCTTAATCTAGCACCTGGCATGTGTTCAACACTTAACAAGTGTATTAACATTATTATAATTATTATTTCCTTATTTGCAAAATTGGGAGAATTATATATTTCATAGAACTATTCATTCATGTAAAACATGCCACTGTTGCATAGACCGCTGAGAAGGAAAAATGCTCCCCAATATAACCTCACCGACCAAAACACCTTTCCCACCTCTAAGACTGTATCTTAGAATCAATGAACCACGGAACGAGTGTGCACCTCACAGAGCTGGTGTGGGATTGAATGGGGCAATCCCATGGTGCTCAATAAATGTTTACGGACTGGATGGAGGTTGGACTCCCGTCCAGTGCTCTTGCCACTCTGCAGCCACGGCCCACTCTGCTCACGTTGAGGCACCCACAGGGCAGCAGGACAGACCGGTGGAGAGGCGGCTTCCATGAGCGCACTCACTGCATATCGCTCGGCTCCAAGACCTCCACCCTGGCAGAGCCGTCCTTCCTGCCGCCCAGGGAGACGGCCCCAACCACCCTGAGAGGTCTCCTCTTCTGCAGCTGTCCCTCAAGACAATGTCCATGCTCAGATGTGATGAGCTTGTCCCCCCCAGAACGAAGTCCCCTAGACCTCTCGGCTGCCCACCTGACCTCCTCCCAAGCCCAAGAAAGTTCAGCAACTTATCTCTCCCTGTCAGGTGCAGCCAGTGTCTGCTGGGGCTCCAAGCAGGGAAAGGGGGCATCAGCCAGAGGCCTCTCCCTAAAGGCCACCTGAGGCTAGGATTGCATAGGGCCCTCTTGATGCTTCCTCACAAAATCCTTCCCAGGATCTGCCTTCTGTCCCTTCAGCAGCAGGAGCCCAGACTGTAGGCCGAGCAAGCCTAGTAAATAAAAGCATCTGGATCATCCTCCCCGTAGGCCCTCAGTCAGGTTCAAAGTGGGGGGAGTGCCTGGGGGAGGGCACAGATACATGGCAGCCCAGCCTCCAGTTTATAACCCTGTAATCCTTGGGCAGGACAGGCATTCACAAAACTCAGTAACTTGTCCAGTTTTCAGAAATATGAGTTCAGGCTTCTCTGCATCCATGTCTCTCTCCCAAGCACCTCTGTCTAGGAGTGTCTGTCCCTCCCCTGCCACCTCCTGCCATGATGGCCAGGACGGAGATCACCTCTCGCAGGGCCACTGAGGCAGAGTGAGCACAGGCACCCCCACCCCCAGCGCAGAGATTCTGGCTCACCTAGGACCAGCTCGCGGCAGCTGCTTGGAAATAACAGTCCCCCCCCCCCTCAGTTATGATGAGCTCCTTATCTCTCTGTGCAAATTAGGAGCACTTCATGGTAATCCAGCCCCGCTCCCTGCCTCAGCAGACTCTCCGAAATAAAAAAGCTGGAACTGAGTCATCAAACGTTGAAGCTCCCCCACAGCCCCATCCCCACCAGCAGTCATGCCTAGGAGGAGAGAGTGTTGCTGCATAACTTTGCCAGCCTGAGTCCTTTGCCAGGATCCAGGTGTCCGAGAGTCCGTGGTCAGCTTCCCCACGGGTCATATGGGGACCCGCCCCTGTGAGCCTGGCTCACACCCTACCGAATGCACCAGTAATAATATCCACCATTTATGGAGACCTCAGGACCAGCCAAGCCAGGCACTGGGCCAAGTGCTCTGCATGGGTAAGTAACCTCATCTAAGACTTAGGACAGCCCTGTGAGGTGGGGGTTTCAGCCCCATTTTTCAGATGAAGGGCAGAGGGGTATGGTGCTTTGGCCAAGGTTGCAGGCTGGCAAGGGTGGGAGTGAACTACAGCTCCTCCACCATCTGAACCACCCTGCTAACTGCCCCCGCCCACCGCCACACACCCCTGGGGATAGTCGGGGCTCCGTGTCAATGCAACTGTACATACACACTCCCAGAATACGCCCACTCACATCCTCATGTGTCCAGGACACGAAGTTAGATTTTTTTTTTCCCCTCTAATGGACCCAAAAGGAATGTGAGATGGGCTGCAAACCAGTCGCCCAGGCTACAAAGTGGAAAATCAATTTGTAATGGAGGGAGCCGTGATCTCCCGGAGGGGCCTGGGATGGCCGGCCAGCTGAGCAAGCCAGGCACCTGCCACCAACGCAGAGGAGCACCCCACAGGCATGCTCAGGAGGCAGGACCCGCGCGACCCTGCATTGTTTCCAGACTGCTGTTGCCAACAGGTACCCGCTTCCGCGTGCTGCTTCCCAGTGGTGGTTCCCTTGCAGACACTGAATTCCAAATGCAGCAAAAAATAAATATTTTAAGGCTCTGTGGCCTGAGTCACCGGAGTTTCGTGGCAGCTAAGTCTCGGCAGCTGGCCCTGCCCACGGGCCTGCTTAGCGTGCAATTAAGATGCAAAATAACATCCCTCAGAAGCTCCCCTCTGGGCCTCTTTGCTTCTCCCTTCAAGGCCCCGGTGGATTAAGAAGATTCAGGAACAGTGGGGAGGCGCTTCTCCCACCAACCTTATTGGAACAAGTCTCTGGCTGGGTTTATGGCCTTGGCTCAGAGCCCTGCCTAGGGTTGGCTGCCGACCTCTTCCTGGCTCCCTGCGAACCTCTCCCACACCACAGCACACTCAGGTCTGAAACTTTAGAACCCTTAATTGATGCCCCACTGGCCTTAGTTTAGAATCCAACCAGGGACAATGACCTCCAAACCAGACAACTTGACTGGCCCCTCCTGAATCTGATCTCCTCTCCCTTCACTCGCCCTCTCCAACCACACAGGCCTTCTTTCAATTCCCCAAAACAAGCCAAACCTTTTCCTGCCTCAGGGCCTTTGCACTTGCTGTTCTTCTTTCTCCTGATCTGTATATGTCTGGTTCCTATTCAACCTTAAATATCACCTCTTCCAAGAAAGCTTCTTAGACCACCCCATGTAGTAAGAAGCACCCACGAGGTCACAGGCATGGCACCATGCACTTTATAACAACCTAAGGGTCAGCAAACTGAGGCATGGAGCTCATCAAGAGCCACGCAGAGAGGGTGAGGGTTCGAACACAGGTATTCTAGCTTCAGAGTCTGGGTCCTTAACCAGTGTGCTACACTGTCTCTGACTGAAGTGGCTTCCTTCCCCCGTCTCCCTCCTTGGCTTCTCCCCTTCTATCTTTATCCAGTTGTCTTGTCTGTCACCCCAATTGAACGTCATTAGCTCCCGAATATGGAAGCTTCTCCTATCTTATTCTCTCTTGTTTCCCCAGTGCTCACAGCAGTACCTGGCCAGGGTAGGTGCTCAACACATACTTACTGGATGAATGAATGGATGGATGGATGAATGAAGTGTTCTAATTCATCCCACCTCCTCCTGCCCCTTTTTCTGTAGAACTTTGAGTCAGGCATACAACACATTCAAGTCACGCCTTGCCCCCTGCATGGCACATGGTAGGTCTTCAAGGCCCCAGGGGACCAAAGTGGTCCCTTGGGAAAAGATGGGTTAGCATTTGTATCAGGCTCCCTAATTTAGACCTTCCCCTACTATAGCTGGTTCCAGAAATACAAGAGAGACAAAGAAGCAGGGGTGAGTTTGTGGTTTCTGAACCATGATGGGGTGGAGGGAAACAGGCAGGACAAAAACACAGAGGGGACGCCAAACCTGCCGGAGAGAATACAGCAGTGGGCCAGCCAGCAAGGCAACTGCCCAGATCTCTGAGTCAGTAAATTGTCAGGAGGGAGGAAGGAGGAGACCCCACTTACTGACTACAAACCACATTCCTCAGGACTGCTGTGTAACAGAACCGTCACTCACCAGGACAGTTATATGATAGGAGCTCGTGTGAGGGCAAAACTCTGGGGTCCTGCGGTGACCACAAGGTAAATACGGGCCAGCAGAATGAGGCAGCTGTTGAAGAAATTTAGTTAACTTTTAGGCTATGTCAATAGGAGTACGATTTATAGATTAAGGGAGGTGATTGCCTCCCTGCACCTGCTCTGGCCAGACCTCTGTAGAGTGTTGCATGCAGTTCTCATCACACATTAGGAGGACCTTACCAACTTCTGAATATGCAAAGGAAATAGCCCCGGGCACACTGAAGGAACCACGGCTGCCCAGCTAGGAGGAGAGTAGTCCAGAAGCCCTTGACTTTTGTTTGTCATCCCTGAAGGCTACCTGGAGATGGAGCTCAACCTGGTGGGGGAAGGAGAATTTGAGTTCCAGGATCTAGATGGTAAGGAAATCTTGCCCTCCGGGTGGTGACATTCCTGTCCCTAGCAGTGAGCACGCCAAGACCGGTGGCCTTTTGGAGGAGGTGGCAGAGGGAATGCTGGATTGCAAAGGGTCAGCCTGGAGGAATGAGCTTTGCAGCACAGAGTGTGTCCACGGGATCATATCACCCAGGAGCTGGTTAGAGATGGAGAATCTCAGCCCCCAGACCTGCAAAATCAGAATCTACCTTTTTTTTTTTTTAAAGATTTTATTTATTTATTTGAGAGAGAGAGAGAGAGAGACAGCATGAGAGGGGATAGGGTCAGAGGGAGAAGCAGGCTCCCCGCCGAGCCAGGAGCCTGACGTGGGACTCGATCCCAGGACTCCGGGACCATGACCCAAGCTGAAGGCAGTCGCTTAACCAACTGAGCCACCCAGGCGCCCCAGAATCTACCTTTTAACAAGAGCTTCAGTGAGAAGCAGTGAGTTTCAGGGCTGGGAGGAGGAGTCAAGGCCTGTTGAAAGCGAAATGACTCCATCACATGTGTGGAGGGCACGGGTGGAGCACCTACCTGTTGGCAGCTCAGACAGCCCCTGTGGAGGGGTTTCCTTTCTGGGGGAGGCAGCAGCGTAAGGAGCCTCGGTGCGGAGATAGGGCCCGTGCTGGGTGGGGTGTTCAGTTCTGGGGGAGGCGTGAGATGGGGAGAGCTACCAGGAAAGGCTTTAAAATAATGGGCGACCTGGTTCAAGGTCACAGAGCAAGGACAATGCAGGAACAGAACTCCAGGTGCCTGGCTCCCCACTCACCTGGTTGTGCTGTGCTGTATGTGTGTGTGTGTGACAGAGAGAGAGAGAGAGAGAGATTGAAAGAAAGCTATGCGTGTATAAAAGACTATAGTGAGTACACGGTGTGGCCCTCCCGTGAGGGCCAGTGGGCATGAACGTGTGAGTCTGTGTGATTGTGTACATCTTTGGGTTGTGACATCTGTGCTCCTGTATCTGCGTGTGGGTTGTGTGTAAATGGGTGGGGCGGGGGCGGCTACGTGTCTGCGAGTGCGTCTGCACGTGGGAGCGTTTCCCCAGGCGGAGGTCCAGCCGTCCGAGCAGCACCCCACCGTGCATGGCCCTGTGGCCAGATGCGACAGACCGTGCAGCCTTGGGCTGGCTGGCTGACCCTAGGGAAGCAGGGTCCTCTGGGGCTATCAGGTGCCCCTGGGCTGGCAGCCAGGACACCTGGGTCCCTCTTCCTGACTCACTGCGTCTGCCAATTCATAGGACATCTCTGTCCCCTGCTTTCCACTCCCAAGTGAAAGTGGCAGGAGATGGGACAAGGGCAGGAGCCACTGTGGCTGTCCCTTCCATCCCCACCCACCCCATTAGCCCTGCCACTGGGGAGGGCTCTCGAGCAAAACTGCCCAGTTCCCTGGCCTCCCTGCTTGTGCAGGACAGCCCTGAGTGTCCCTGCCCTTCTGCCTCTAGTTCACAGTCCTGACCCAGCCCAGTCCTCGTGTGCCTGGCCTCTGACTCAGTTTCTCCTAAATATCCCCTCTCCCGTCCCTCACCTCAACCCACACTAGCCATCCAGCCTCGGACTTGAGACAAGAGCTCCCCCATGCCTCTCAGATGAGCTTTACCAGGAAGGCCCCTCCACCCAAACAGATGCCCTGTGCTGGGCTTTCAGCCAACCTCTGGGACAGGGGAGGTGAACAAGGAGGCATGGGGACAGCACGTCTTTCTCTCTCTAGGATACGGACTCTGGATCTCGGGAGGTCAGCTCTACTTCTTACCTTGGGCAAGGCACTCACCCTCTCCAAGCATCAGTTCCCTCATCTGAAAAATGGGTACATGAACCAACTTCCAGTGACATGCCATGACACTGTGTCAGTGGGTCAGCAGGGTCTTCCCTGACGCCACCAGAGGAGAGCATGAGCCTGAGGGTCAGACTGGGTCAGGAGTGGGTAAGGTCACCCTGGAAATGCCCAGCGCTGCTGGGGAGTTGGCCCTTGTGGGGACGCCAAGGTTGCAAGGAGGAGCTGAGCAGGAGTCCAGAGATGGAGCCCATGGGTCTGGGATCCCAGAGCCCCAGCCCCAAGGAGACGCGAGGCAGGAGCCTCAGACCCCACCAGCTTCTTGTGTGGTAGAGTGTGGGGGCAGCACCTGGTGTTGAGGGGAAGAAGTGAGAGGGACGAGTTCAGGGGCAGAATCTAAATGCTTCTCACAGCCGAGGCCCTGTCAGCCTTCCCTTCAGGTGTGGCCAGCTGCCCCAGGGGACAGCTCGCCGCCCAGAGCAGCCAGACCACAGAAATGTCACTAGGAAACATCGGGGTTGGTGGCAGGCAGGGACCACAGAGGGCGGAGGGCGAGCACAAAGCCGACTGGCCTCAACAGCCCAGAAGCTGGCCCTGCAGATATGTCACACCGTCAGCCTCCCCTTTATCCTTTTTTCCACAGCACCCATCACGACTTGCTAGTAAGTATTGTATGAAGAGTAAAAGTGTTGACCCTGAAGCCAAACAGCCCAGGTTCAGAAGTCAGCCCTATTACCTCTTAGCTGTGCAACCTAGGGCAAGTTGCTTATCTTCCCAGTGCCTCTATTTTCCCATCTGTGGAATGGGGAGAACAGAGCAGCACCACAGGGCTGTGGAGAGGATCAAAGGAATTCATAAGAGTTCGGCTGATGTGAGCTCTGATCACTCCTGCTGGTGTTGTGACGAGCATCGCCCACCTCCCCCACCACACACACACGTGCACGGACATGCGCCAGGGCATATGCGTGTGCACACATGCACGTGCTCACGCCAGCAGCAGACAGTAAGCCCCACAAGAGCAGACGGTAAGCTGTTGGGTTCACCGAGGTCGTGCCTCATACACAGCACTTTGCCAGTAAACACTTGTTGGCTGAAAGACAAGTAAATATTTGAGTTCAGTAGCTTGGCGGGTTCAACTCTACTCTGCCCTTCTGCGCCTCGTGGAAGCTCTGACTCCTGACGGGTTGCAGCTCCCGCTCCCTCCTCCTCCCCCTCCTCTCCCTGCCTCCTTCTGCCTCCTTCTGCCTCTGCTGGGTCCTGCAGGGAAGCAAGGGTAAGCTTTCTTCTTCCTAGGTGTGTGACCTTGAGCAACATCTTTTCGTGTCCGTCTGAGCCTGTTTCTTCTGTACATGGAGGTCAACCACCCCTCACTAGCCAGCACGTAGGCTGGAACAAAACAGGCTCCGCAACTGTCCCCAGGGATGTGGCTCTTCCAAATGCCACCCCTACTGGACGTCACCTCTTTTTGACTCAGGTCTGACCACAGCCCCTCCCGAGGCCACTTCCCCACCCTTGAGCCTCTAAAGGTCAAGACCACGATCCATGGCTTTCACACCAATTCCTGCCCCAACAGGCTGTCGCTTCCCTCTAAACTGAGCCTCCCAAGCATCCTTGAGGACCAAGATTGTGGCTCTTGCCTCCTGTCTCTTCCCAGACCCCTCATCCCTCTCTGGGCATCCAAGTGGCTGGTCTAAGAAGGCCCAGCTTCCCCAACTCCTCTGGGGCCCGTGGAGGGGTCCCGATCCCCACACACAGGCTGCAGCATGCTGCATGAGCACGGGTCGGGTACACTTCAGTGTATGCACCGGGGAGCCCACTTGCACAGCCCACTTGCACACTGGTCCGTGAGCACCAAGTAAGGACAAATGTTCACGCACACCCAAGTGTCTGTACACGCACACAGACTTGCTAAATGCGCACTCGCACAAAGTGTGGACTGGAAAGGGTGCCCACTGCCCGAGAATGGGACTGAGTGACCTAGGGAAACCACATCAGAGAGTGTCCCAACCCCCCACCATACCTGTACCCCCAAGTTGCACGCAGGAAAGGCAATATATGAGGGCTGCAAGGCTGGAGGTGAGCCAGGCAGCGTTGGATGGGAGGGACCATCAGCCCTTCTGGCCCCCCGGGCCCAGCCACTGTGTTCTCAGAACCCAACCCCCACACCCCAAAGCAGCTGCCTCTCCTGCAGCGAGTGGAGCTGCTGCGGACTGGATCCCTCCCAGCAACATGCTGTTGCCACCTAGAGTCGTCCCTGGGCATCTCCAGGCCCTGCTGGCTGCCAGCCTCACCCCCAGCTCCCTGCTGGATCCCACAGTTGGGGGGGATTTGGGAAGGGGATGGCTAGGAATGGAAGGAGCAATAAGACAGGGGGAAGTCTGGGGTGGACACTGTTAGGATGGGGCAGGAGAGCTAGGTTTCAGCCCTAGCTGGGTCAATAGCTCTTTATGTGCCCTCAGGTCTGTCCTGTCTTCTTTGGGCCTCAGTTTCCCCATCTATAAAAGGACAAACATTCACATATGACTAGAGATACTCATGGGCATTTCTCTGGCTGGGGAGTCTCGGGGGCTAAGACCTCACAGGGAGTGGGGAGGCCTTCTAAGGAGTAAGAGGCCACCTGAGGCTAGGCCAAAATGGGCACTCCAGCTCACGCTGCCTCTGCTACCAGCCGAGAAGCTGGTGCTGCCTTGGGTTCGAATCCCAGGTCTACCACTTTCTCACGGTGGGACTTTGAGCCAGGTACCCAATCTTCCTTCCTCTTTACAACGGATGCAGACACAACACTTGGCATGGTCCCTTGGCCCCCGCGGGTCCCCAGGGGATGCTGTGTCTAGCTACTATTGTCTGCCCAAGAGGGCCAGAGATGGCTTCACATGGGACCAGATAATCCACATGTGCTTCTGCTGTGCTCCATTTTACCTGAATGGAATCTGCCAGAAGCTGAGTGAGGGGACAACTATTTCCCTGAATTGGAAGAATTTGGGTCACACGGTGGAAACCCTGGCAACCAGCTCCGAAAGGATGGGGGGTGGGAGGTGCCTGGCTGCCACATCCCATCTACCTCCATGGTGGTCTCCTAGACAACAGGATAAGAGCCCCTCCAGCCTGGGACCCTCCCCTCTCCCGGAGGCCAGCCTGATGCTTCCCCCCCTGCCCCGCCCCCCGCTGCCACCAAGGAAGGGGCAGCTCGCGGGCAAGGGCTTGACCCACTGCC